CCTTCTCTTTGGCTCTATCTGTTCCTGATTTGGTAAGAGCCATAAGAGGTGGAATCACTCCTTCTCTTATGACAACATTGCAGAGTCTTGGAGTATACGTACAAAGCAGCAAAAGAGCTGCAGTTGCATTCTCTTTGCCTCTAGCTGAACCTAACTCCACAACTTCTACCATTACCGGTATTCCTCCTTCTTCGTATATCGCAATCCTTCCTTCTTTTACCGTTGCAAGATTCGCCAAAATAACCACGACTTTCTCAACCATTCCAGCTCCTGGATCCATCAACTCAACCAAGTATCTAACCGCACCAGCTTTGATCACTTTTATCTTGTTCTCATGGTTTATTGAGAGGTTAAACAGAGCCGTGGCTGCGTCTTTCTTGCCTCTAAGACTTCCATTCCCCAAGAGTTCAACAAGTGGCTCTATAGCTCCTGCGTTTCCTATCTTTGTCTTGTTCTCTTCGATTACCGATAAGCTGAATAATGTTGCTGCTGAGTTCTCTTTGGCTTCTACGCTTCCTGTTTTCAGAACGTGAATGAGCGGTTTGATAGCTCCACTCTCTGCGATGATGGATTTGTTGTTGTCGCTTAAGGATAAGTTTAGTAAGCAAGTCACTGCGTCTACTTGGATTCTATCATCCTTGGAGTAAAGCAGATTCACTAAAGAGTTGATTGCTCCGCATTTCGCAATCACAATGCGATTGTCTGTACTGTTTCTTGATAGTATCCTGATCCGAGCTGTGGCTTCTCTTTGTGTATCGAACGAAAGACTGTTGAGATCTTTGATCAGTTTCTTCACCTCTGCTTCGATACTTGAACTGCTTCCAGTTTCTCTTATGGTCGCTGGGATGATCCCCGGGTGGCGAAAATGCCTCCCTGATGGATGTCTCCAAGCGGTTTTAATCCGTGCCCGCGAGATTGTTGGTTGTTCTGCAGCAGCAACAATGCTTATTTCGGTTTCGGAAACTACTTTTGAGACAATGCCTGGTGCAGAAGTAGACCTACTTAAGACCTGACGCAGCAGCTCCTCGCCTTTGGTAGCATCTAAAGTCACTGTATGGCCATTTCCGGCTATATTCGTAGGCGATGAATCTTCTGATGTCGAAGCTCTCTCTGACTTAAGGGAATCATCAAGCATGAGTTGGTTGGTTCCAGAGAGAGTCAAGTAGCCACCTGAGCCATCACTAGCACCTGATTCAACAAGAAGAGGAAACGGCTGACTTAACCGAATCAGCTCCAATGGATCAGGAGGATTGACATTTTGTGCTTCACACCAATTGGCAATGAAAGCCTTGACAATGTAATTAGGTGTCCAAGTGGTATAAGATAAAGCCTGCCTTGTTTTGGGACAAACCATGAGTCCCATATCCATCCATTTTTCGATAAAAACACGTTCGTATGTTTGACCAGATGCCACGGTGACTGGATCATTCATAAGCTCGAGCGATAGCGGGCAGCGAAAGTCAGAAGGTACAGGGACAGGATAATGTAACTGAGACTGCTTTATGTTGGTAAGGTAATCATGCATTTGTGTTATTAGAGAGATCAATCCGTCTAAAAACTCAGCTTCTTCGGTGTTATTATCGGTAAGCTCGGCATTCTCCTTTAAATTAGAAAGTACCACACCTTCAATCAGAATCTCCTGGTTGGATCTCAAACCAACACACTCAGCAATTTTCATCAGAACCTCTGAAGTAGGTCCAACACCTTCCCTTTGATCTATCAGTGCTAGATCAATAGTATACGAAATTTCATCTCTCGTCATTAACTTCACCAATTCTATGCCTTCCTGCAATATGAACAATGTCACAACACATAGGAGCTTGATCAGTTATTAGATCTTAAAAGAGAACTACACAGCAGATTCTTGAACAATACTGATAAATGTAGATTTTACA